GGTACAGACACAGAGGGAAAGTGCAGTCACATTTCCAGCTGTGCTGGTGTGGGAAGCAAAGGAGGGGAAGCAAAGGAGGGGAAGCAAAGGAGGGGAAGTCTGGATGTGAAGAAAGGTGTGCAAATGGTGGGAAGAAGCATATGGACGGAAATGGGGAAGCTGGGCCCGAATGGGATGGTCAGGGGAGTGTGAGCATTCAGTGGCTGTGTCCTGCTCTCCTAACCCTGAGCCTCYTCCTGGCTTTTGTAAGGCTCAGGGTGTCAGAAAGCTCTCCAGGAGCTACCATATGCCAGTTATTCAGGCCTTCTAATTTTAGTTGACCAAGCAATCTGGAGGTGTAAAACAGGAACAGGCACCGCAAAGCACATTTGCTGAGCAGTGCCACATGTGGTCAGCCCTTGTGGCTTTGTAGGGTCTGTATGGGATTCATGAGGTGCAGCCAGAAAAGCACATGCTGAATTCCCTGTGGCTGAAAAGGTGCTGCACCAGGCAGGCACATGTTTGAAAGAAAGCAATTAGGGAAAGCAGCAATTGCAGCACCATCATATATATATATATATATATATATATATATCTGTTCGTGTGTGGTTAAGGCATAAGTAACTCTGGCTGTCTTTTAGGAAATTGTGCTCCTTCTGTATTCATTAGCTAATAACTTTCTGACAACTGAGTCATCAAATTGCAATAAAAGAATAGAAAAATATTTTTAAGAGTGAAAATTTCAGCCTGACAATTATGGATGAACTTGCTTTCATTGGAAAGATTATTGAGRTAAGAACATGGGACACATCCAGTAGAAGAAAGAAATATGGGCATGTTTGTCACTATAGAAGTACCTGAAAGCAAGTAGTAAAGGAGAAGGAGAAATAAAATGGGGCAGAGTTAGAAATTGAAATATTTCAGTAACATTAGCTGCAAATATTCTGTGTGTRGCTTATTCTGTATGCAGATTCTACTTCCCATTTTTGTGCTTAATAGCATACAGAAAATGAAAAGAACCAAGTAGCTTTGAAAACTTGTTAGATGAATATGCTCTAAAGCARAAAGGCCACTATTATGGTAAAAGGTAAGAATTTTGCCATGTTTCAATTTTCTTGCTGTTAATGCACATCTTTTTAATAMTTCCTGTCCTATATGGAAAAACAGGGCCACTCTTGTTTCCATGAAGTTCCATAAAGTTACACTGCTTGTTCACAATCAAGTTTGGTCATTTTCTCACATCATTAAACACTGTTTTTTATTAACTAAGCCTTCTAAAAATTGTCATGCTTGGTATATTTGTGCATGGTTCAAAATATTTTAGAAATGTATTGTTCTTTGCTTCTAACTATGTAATTCTTAAATAAGAGGAATTTTAAAAAAGTCACTGTGGGATGAAGAAGGAATTCAGTTTCTGTTCGAGGCCCTGCCTCTGAGTCAGCACACGATTTGCAGGCACATTTTGGCAGTTTCTCGAGGGGAATGGCACCTAGGTCAGCGCGGTGCTGCGCCAGTGCATCCCCTCCCTGGCAAAGAGCCGCCACGCACAAATGAGCACCAACAAGGACTCTGCCATTAGAGTTTCTGCCCTGTGAGCAGAAAGAAAGGTGTGGGTTTTGATTTGTTTGTTTGTTTTCCTTTCCAAAGCATGTTCTGATCTTTTGACGGCAAGTGCTGTACAAATACCGAATATGATGACACGATTCCTGAGTAAGCACGTAAATAAGTTTGGTAATGATAGCCTTGGCCCATTGTGCCATTAGTCTGGGCACTGTGCAGTCATAATGAAGGACAGCATTTGTTGTGCAGAACTGCAAAATTAAGGGAGGGGAGATCAGACAGCTGCAGCAAAAAGTTAATTCTCAGGAARGATGAGACTGCATTGGTCAGGCTAAAAAACACATTCTTGGTATGCAGGTTATCTAAACACCACTCTCGTTGGCAATGCATGGTCAGGTAAGGGAAGAGATTAAAATYAACTTAGTGAATGTCCTCAGGGGTCTGCTTTTCTTGCATATGTAGTGGCAATAGAGTCAATAATATTGTCAGAGTCCAAACAGGTGATGAAGAAGTGGTTGGAGCCTRCATTGTGCCACAAAATACCACAGATAATGAAGGGTAATGCCTCCTGTACAAAGATGAATGTTTTTGTATTGAAAGCAGCTCCTCTCTTGGCAGTGTGACTGTCTCCTAAGAAGCTGATCATGCTTTCCCTAATCTCTTTTCTTGATGAGCTGCCTGAAGGAGTAGCAGCAGAGTCAGCATAAAGCTTCACCTAGGTCTTCGCTCCACTCATTGTTTCACTAATTATTAATAAGTTATTATAACCAAGTTTTGGATATCTGAGCAATTACAGAGTCATTTACAGGGTTTTATACAGCGGCCAGGCCACAGGAGGAATGAACTGAGCAACCCTCTTCATTGACAGGAGTTAATAAGTTTTACTTTTCCTTACCATCTCCAGGTGCAGGGCTTCAGTGAAATTAAACAAAATTGCTGACCTCCTAAAGGTCTGCAGAGCGCTCAAGAAATTGTCCATTTCTATTCATGGGGCAGTGTTATTGAAATGGTATGGCTTTAGAGCCACTTTGAAAAAATGTATTTACAYTATCTTATAACTGGAATCTAAGCATTCTTGTTTGTATGGTTTTTAATGGAAAACACCACTGAATAATTTATGTGCATTCACTAAGACAATTTCAGAGGACTAATAATGCATAGGTTCAAAATATATAAGGATTATTTATGCCTCATACTGAGGGAACTAAAGAAACTATTCTCCTGGAAAGGAGYTGAATAACCATTGTGAAATTGAATAACCATTGTGAATGTCTTTTTTTTATTTATCTTGCTGTTGTGCCTGCAGGCCTTCTTAATCTCTTATTATACTGACGTGTTATAAAGAGGCATTATAGCTCAGAGTCTTGGTAGGGACAGCATGAAACAGTTTGCTGAATATCCCTGATGGACCAGGGAAGAGAGGAAGAGGAAAGGTCTCATTACAGCCTGCACCAGAGCCTGTTTATCCAATAGCTCAATCCTTCTATCAGAAAGGCATTCTTTAGCATTTTTGAAGAACTGTGTGTCTTTAATTTCCTCTTCTTTCAGAGGCTGATTCTTTCATACCAAGAGGCAGGGGAAYCCATGTGCAAGGAAGGGGGTGGTGGCTGTTCCTTCCTGYGGAGCACAGGGCAGCATCCCTGGGTCCAAAAGGAGGGAAGACAGCAGRGAGAGGGGAAAACCCAGTGAGCCTCTGAAACCCCAGCCCTTTGATGTGGTGGCCAAAACCATCCTKGAGACTGAGCATCTGTGCAGAGCTTGCCAGAGCTTGGGAAATCTGCAAGCTTGTGGAAACCAAACAGGACATGAGAGAGAAAGACCTCACCCTGCAAGGACACAGTGTGCAATGGGAGATGCTTTGTGCAGCCTTTGCCTTTCTTTTTGATGTATCTAGTCACTGAGGGTCCTCAGCGTTGTTTGACTTTCTCAATTTGAAACACTTYTTGCTCTCATTTGGAAAATTTCATTTTATGGAAGAGGTTCAAGCAATTCTACCTCAGGGCCCTAGTGTCTTGGTGGGGTGGAATTGACAACTCTTAGCTGACTGGGGTTCTCACAGTGGCAAATAAAGAGCAAGAAGAGCGACTAATATCTGTGGTAGAGGCTCATATTTTCTTCCTTAAAACATAGCTAATGCTGAAACAAACCAAAAGGCTGACATGCAATACATACTTTTTTAAAGGCTAAAACAGTTGGACAAGGTCATAATTTTCTGTCTTTTTCACCTTTGCAGAGCTTCTAAAGAATTTGGATTGTTTGTGCAGGGACAGCTACTGCTGTTGGCAGGGGGCACTGCTTATTTTCACTTCATAACTCTGGYCATGGCTTCATGCAAGGCAAGGCAACAAATGAGGCAAATCTGCGAGAGCCGGGGGTTGAAAACTGGACAACTGCAGCAGGATGAGAATTTTCAGAACTGATGGGTTTAAAGTTACTGAGGGATTTAGGTATTTTTTTTAAATTTAGCTAATTGATTTTATAGTGTTCTAGTGAAGGTCAATGGCTGATTAATGCTTTGGACATAAGGATGCTTGTTTGATACGTGTTTTCTTGGAAAGAAAGACGTCCTGGTATCAGATATGTTTTGAGATGCTGACACCCTGGCCCTTGAACACTCATCTCACTGGAGCAGTCAGATTGCCAACCCCCCACCCCTGCATCCCTGCCCCTTGACTGACACCRGCAGCGTAGGCAGGATGCTGCTCACAGTATCCATGTGAGCAATGTTCCTCTCAAATCACGCTGCCATTGTTGAAGCCAAGGGTCAGCACGACTCTGACCCACATTTAAATGGCATTTTCCTGGGTGGTTGTTKCTCCCAGGTCACCTGGACACCGAGTGTCCCTGGATGCCCACAGAAGCCACAGCATTGCCTGTGTTTGCTGTCAGTGCCCAGTGGAGCTGCCCTATGGATGGGCAGCTGCTCATCTCTCCTACTGGCAAGAAAACTTTGCTTTACAAACTATTCCAACCACAGATAATCAGCAGATAATCTGGGAAAAAAAGAAAAAAACAAAACAAGGGCAGCATATTGGCATCAGAAACACGAGGAAACCTTGCAGTGTCCTCTCCCCATTTGCTTTCCAGGTGCCATACCCTGACCATCTCAGTGCGCAGAGCTGTACCCCTTTTTCTAAATGGCAGCAGGATTAACTTGGTGCACATTTGCTCTCTTTGATGCCCTTCTTCACCTCCTGGCAGCAACATACTCATTGCAACRCTCCTGGCAGTCCCCGTATTCGCTCTGTGAAGAATCAACAGTTTAAAAACAGAAATGAGGGAAGGAGGAGAAAGGAAGAACCTTCTCAGACCAGCTTCACCYATGCTTTTGAAAAACCTGGTTTATTTTTAAAACCTTTACTTTGCTGGTGACATGATCACAGGAGTCCTTGTTGATGTTTATATGTTTTTCCATCATTGTAACTGACTTAACTCTGTTTTCATCTCTTCTTCTCTCCCAGTGGAGTTTTTATACTGTGATTTGGCTTCCATGAAGTCTATACGGCAATTTGTGCAGCAGTTTAGAGCAAAGAAATGTCCACTCCATGTCCTGGTGAATAATGGTGAGTTCTGTTTTTTTCTTCTCATATCTGCAGGGGAAGATGTGACAAATGGAGCTCTTGTCTGTCACTTCACATTTCAGATAGATTTTCTGAACCATGCAGCAGGTTACCATGGGGCTGCTTTAACTGGGATGTCTTTCTAGAGTTAAATGGCATTTTTTGGAGAGATTGTCAGGTGAGCAGTCTGAACACTTCAATGCCACACCTGCTCATCATGTTATTGCAAGTCTGGTCTCTATGCTGTGTTTTTTTAGCTCTCCACCACTAAAAATAATGCAACTATACAAGAATCTGAGCATCCCTAACAAAAATAAAAAAGGAAAGAGAAGCTGTATTTTATACCAGTAGAAAATGTCTTTTCACCTTTGTTTACTTTCTCTCCCCTTATATTTTTCMCTGGATAAACACTTGTTTACTGTGGTTGACTGATGAGCTTGGCTGGGGGTTTAATCCACCTGAAATATAACCTAGTAAATTATCCATCAGCCTCAGAGAAGTCGCTGCATATATCAAGGTGTTGCTGGAAAGCTTTTCATAAAATTGCATCCTCAGTGGTCAGAGCACAAATTAAAAGGRCAATATTTATTTTGCATTMATACAATTATCAAATGAACATCATTATTATTAGGGATTTTATCTTTTGTTATTCACATACTTGCTGTCTAATTTTGCATAATAGTCACAGTATTTTTGAAAACCAGCCTGTACAATAATTTTCCTCCAGAAACCATGCATGCTCTGCATGCACTGTCCTAGAGGAGAATTTTCACCCATCGATTTAACAAGGGGAAAAAAACAACAGCAACAATTTAGGCTTCTTGGAGAAGTTTTCTGCTGTTATATGCTGCTGTTCTTGTTTTACCAACTATTTGCATRTGTTTTTATTAAAACATCCTGGAGAACATTTTTTATTTTCCTGTGCACACTTCAATCCTAGTGAGAGCAAACATGCTATAAATAAATGTGTTTTTTATATTTATTGATGTCTCAAATAGCTCTCAGTAGCACAAGCAAATACTGCAATAAAAACAAAGTGTTTTTTATTTACTGATTGATATGAAATGTTTGTTAATGTTCAGTTAAGTGTTTGTTTTTCTTTGATTAGTCAAAAAAGCCTACCATTATTATTTTAATTGTGCARTAATTAGCGGTCGTGGGTACTTAAGCCTAGTTACAAAGTCTTTCCAGATTTACATTTAAATATGCAGAGTAAAAGCTGTTGCACAGATGAAAACAATACTATTTGAAAAACACAGCATACAGTTCTATGCACCCATCAGGCAACCCTTGCTCTCCACTAATTTTTAGCACAAGCAAAGCCAGCATTGTCAGCAGGGGCTTGGAGGCCAGTTTGGGGGAAAAAATGATGAGGCTGAAGCAACTGGGAAGCCCTCAGGAACAAGGGATTTTTCTGCCCCAGCTGCTGTTGAATGGAAATAGATGAAAATTAAATCTATCTTCTTATGCAAGAAACAGAGTTGTATGAAAATAGGTCTCCTAATGTTCCTAATATGTTATGAGACCAAAGGGTGTAAGCCCAATACTTCTTTTAAGAAAGGAGCTTGAGACTAAAATTTGCCTGATTCAGTCTATACATTTGTGACTTGCAAGAAGTCATTTGATTCCACTTACCCTTTTTTACTAAGTACGGTTGGCAAGAGAAATCTGTTATTTGAGAAAATCCTTTTAGAAGCTACAATGAAATGAATGGTCCAAATCTGCTTTTTGCTTTAACACTCATGTCCAAAGCATAGCAAACGACTTCCATAGAACAGAAGCCTGGCAATGACTCCACTTTTGAATGCTTTTTCCTGCATATTCTTTTTTGTTTTTTATGGTCCTTTTTATAAATAATGTATYGTAAATACATTGCTTTTGTAAATAATCTTTGACATTGATTTTTGCTACTAGTTTAATATTGACAGCCCATTATTTTCTTGCTACACAAGAAGAAAGTGAACATACTGGTGGAGGAGAAATGGCCTGATGCAAAACCACCAGTGTTGAGCAGAATCAAGGCACATGCTGACATTTGGGCTTTCTGGTTAATTTTCCTTTTCCTTTTCCTTTTCCTTTTCCTTTTCCTTTTCCTTTTCCTTTTCCTTTTCCTTTTCCTTTTCCTTTTCCTTTTCCTTTTCCTTTTCCTTTTCCTTTTCCTTTTCTYCTTCTTCCTTTTCTCTTTTGTTGCTGCAACACAATGCACTAAGGAGGATGATTCAGTCCATCATGGACTGCAGATCGGGAAGCATTATTCACTCAAAAGCTGATCACAGTTGCCAGTTCCACTGCCTTTCCCATAAGATTTCCTGGACACACGCTTGTATGCCTAGAAGAGGACAATGCTTGCAATATTGAAATGTTGGATGGGAATGAGTTGTTTGGCATGTTGTCAGTGAGAGTGTATTTGGCCAGAAAACTCTGCTGCCAGGTGAAGGCATTTTTCATGACTTTTTGATGTTTTGCAGGACTTCTCGTAATGACACTGATTTTCTTATGAGTCAGAATATGCCTTTAGTTGGTTTCTTAGGGTCACCTGATACTTTTTTATTTCTTACAGGTCTCAAAACTCTAGAATGCTTAATATGAGAAGTTATTTTTATTTTTTAGCACGTGGATAAGAGCTGTGTGCCAGACAGCTACACAGTGCATTTGCAGGCAATCACATCCTTTTAAGAGTCTGACCCAAAATCCATTGGAGTAATGGAGATTCTCCACTATRTTTTGAAAATCAGACTTTGTGTGGATCCCATGATTCCTGATTCAGATTATCAGCAAGTTATAGTAAAAATTTTCCTCTCTGTCTTCATAGGGCCAAACAYTTTATTATCAGGGCTGTACTCTTTTGTTACATTTAATGTAAACATGCAAGAATTGTTACACTGAAAGTTTTGCACTATATATTAGTTTTATTTAATTGATTTAAATCAAAATCTTTTAACTTGATTGATATAATCATGTGCATATGTTACTGAACTTTCTACATATTATGTCCATAAATATGTATCCTGTACATATATGAAGGTGTGTGATATTTGTTGTGGGTTTGTGCAAACCTGTCAAAAAACCAAATATTTGAAGATCAGTTGATGAAAGTTCCAACATTTTTCAGYAATGCAAATTAGGAAATTAACATTGAAATATTATGAAAGACAGGAGATTTGGTGTGAATTACTGTAGTAGATAAATAATCAATACTACACCTGACCTGAAGTTGTTATGAAATTCATCAGATTTTCAGGCCACTGGTGAGTTTCGTTTTTTAAAAATGTCTCTCCACCACTTGTTGTCCATCTCTTGCCCAACTCAGGGATTTAGTTGGAAAAATAAATTAATACTAAAATCCTGAGTTTCAAAGTATTCTCCTAGAGCTAAACTTCCAGGTCACACAATAATCTAGTGAAGGTTTTTAGGTACCCAGCTAAATGGAGATTAGTGAACTAGTCGCCTCCTCTGTTTATTTTTTATAGTTTATTTTAGCATATATATTTAACTTTCTAATTTCTAATTTAAAAGGAAAAATTTGGTTGAATGCACGCATTATTTCAGCTGACAAATAAGGGCCTGTTTTTGCATTACTATACTTTCTGCCTCAGTAATGTGCATGCTCAGCTCTTGGTTTTTAAAATAAACAAAACATATTAAAAATGCAAATAGAGTATTATATAAACATTTTTTAAATGTAATGTGCTAATGCTGAAAAGAGAAAAACGCTATGACATAGAAAAAAATTCATTTTCTGTAGAAAACGAGAAGGAAGCTAAATGGTCGAATTGTGAGTCTCAGAAAGAGAGRTGCAGCACAAGAAGTGCAGAAAGCTTAATCTGACAGAAGGTCAGAAGGATGTKTCTTCCATTCTGCTAATTAGCTATTGGGTGCTAATTTTAAGTTTTGTTTTGGAAAGAACTGTGTCTTTGTACAGCTGAAAAGCATTTAGCAAATTACAGCATGTACACTAGTGTTAATTATTTAATGCATTCCTAAAACTGTCATTGCTGTTAAAATGCATTAGGAAGTCTGCTGGTTTTTTGTGGTTGAAAAAGAAACAGATACTAAAACACTCTRTAAAATTCCATGACCAGTAGTCACTGTTTCATGCCAGAGATGTTTTTCTAACCTTTAAGGCAGTCATTTTCTCTGTGTGCTAGAACCGTTTCTCAGCACCTTGTAGACAATGTTTTTGTTTACAGTACCTAATGGTCTCAAAGCCAAGAGAGCTAACACCAAAATCASAAGCTATTTAGTGATAGCAGAATACCTCTGGATGCCAAATATGCACTAACTCATTAACAATAAAATGCTAACTCAGAGATTTCAGGCTATTATTGGCCTATTGCAGACAGATTACAGTTAATATATTTCAGGTTGAAGCCTATCTAAGCCAATTTAAAATCAATATTTCTGAACTGCTAACTAATTCAGACGATCACATTTCGTACTKCATGGATCATCTGAGAAATTATCAGTCTCTTGATAGAATGAAAAGTCTGTATAAGCTTACATCTTCAGTTCCTACGGCACAACAAAAGCTGTATCAGTAGCTAAGTATGTGAACTATATATATTTCCTTGTGTTACCTACACACAGTCCAGCCATGTGCAGTTCAGCTATGATCCATAAAATGGTCCCATGCTTGCTGTCATGGTTGATCTCATATTAAATTATTCCTGCATTTGAGTATTTGCAGGATCAGATCTTCAGAAAAAGTGTGAAATTTGAGGGTTGGGAACAAGGGCACGTATCAAATGCAAACAATTTTATACATACTTACCTACTCACGGGTATTATTTATAAGTTGAATTTAATAATATTTAAATTGTTTGAAATTACACAGTGGGATCTATGAAAATATCCTGTCCCACTGGATTAAATAAGAGCCCGCTCCCTTCTCGGTAGCAGCTGCAGGCTACACTGACTGTTCTGATGAAAGAGAAAGCTCAGAGATGTGGCAATTCACTGGAGAAGGCCTTGAGGGAAAGTTAGTGAAGAGCATTGCTGTTGAC